CAGGGCTGCTCCAGAGAGTGGCAAGAACAATGGAATGAGGCTGAGGCAGGAGGATCCTTGCAAGTTCGAGGCCAGCTTTGGCTACAAAGTGAGCTCAGGGCCAGCCTGAAGTGTATAGCGAGACCCTGTCTCAAAAAAGACAAAAACAAAACAAAACAAAAACAAGAACAATAGAATGTGTGTGTTTGAATCAAGGAGTATTATAAGGGAGATCAACAGCAATGTGTCTTTTACTGTAATAAACTTTTTAAAAAATTTAAATATTCACCTTATCTTTTGATCATCCCATGTATCTGTCACAGTGACTGAGCAAATAGTAAAATGACACATTGGTCTTTGGAGCAGAGTGGCTACGTGCACTTAAGGAGATAGCAGTTGTGTAGATCCGAGTCGGTGGGCAGGGGATCCAGGAAAGCTGGAGGGCAGTGGGTAAGTCACAGGCTGGTGGCCAGAGGGAGGAGTGGATTAAGGAGGGACACAGGTGAGTCTGCGCTCAAGGGAACAGGGAACAGGAACCGTCCCTGGCTGGGTCCACACCAGGCTGAGGCGCAGGCGAGCAGAGTGAGGGGTGGGCTGCCTGGCCCGCAAAATCCCACGGGAAGGAAAAATCCCTCCGTGGCTCCAGTGTGCAGCAGGGCTGACTGCAGGGAGGCGTCCCCTGGGGGAAGGACGAGGGTGCCGCTTGCAGCCCTCTTCATCCAGGAGGCAAAGGGATCCCCCCAGTGAGAGCAGCGAGCTGCGTGGGCTGGGGGAAGGAAGCCTCCGTCCTCCGCAGTCCTCCCAGCTCTGGTTTCCTACATCCCAGGAGGGAATGGGGAAGGAAGCCGGGGGAAGAGGGCTGAGCAGGATCACTGTGTCCCTCCCTTTCCAGGAAATCAGGCCACATCCTAGAGGGAGATTTCATTCTTTGGTTCCTGGAACTGAGTCCACTTAGTGAAACACACAGCAACAAAACAGCACAGTGGAGCTAAAGACAACCACAGAATGTAGACCTCTCGCTTCAGGGTCCAGTGGCCCTGAGGAAGCCGGCAATACCCACGGCCAGCTGGGTGGCCTCGCCTCCTGTTCACGTGGGCTTGTGGTGGCCTCAGATGAGTCCCCAGCTGCTGAGTCGGACTAGCTCCCATTACTGGGAATGTACCTGCCTCAGGCAGAATAGGTCTCCGAACCCTCAGGAGGGCAACTCTGAGGGCGCCTGTCGCCTCCCCTTTACAGATGGGAAAGCCGAGGCCCAGGGGGTCCTGGGAAGTGCTTAAAGTCCTACCTCTTGGCTGTGGGAGCCAGGACTGGTCTAAGGGAAGCCCTGCTGCTTGTTCAAGTGCCACGTTGGGAGGGTATTGACTTGGTCTTAGATGTGCAGGGCCAGAGCTCTCAGCCCTGCCTTTCTGAGGGGTGAATCACTGAGACAACAGAAATGGTTGTTCTCTCAGCTCCTCGGGCCCTCGGTTGATGCTTCCTGTGTAATGCTCCTCACTGTTCTCAGTCAGGTCCCCAGCTGCCCGCTATTCACCCTCACTATCGCTCTGAGAGAGCTCTGTTACTCTCACTCTAGAGATGAAGCAACTCAGATTCAGAGCGGTCCGGTCATGTGGCCAAGGTCACGGTTCGGAAGTAGCAGAGCATAAGCTCAGGCCCAGAGCTGCCGGCTTCCAGCCTGGTTCTTTTTCACCACGCCCCACTCTAGCAGTCCCTTCCCTGGCTTCTAACTGCCCTTCGGGAGAATGTCACCCAGGGCTGCCGCTTCTGCCTGAATGTCTGCTTCGACTTCCACGGAGGCCTGCGAGTTCTTGGGAGAAGGACCTGGAGCCCCAGTCGACACTGCGCTTCTGCGGAGCTGCATGCACACAGGCGGCTGTGTAGCTGGATCCAGAATCCAGGGCCCGTCCCAGACATGGAGCTAAGACACCTCTTGAGCCATCAGGGCAGTTTCAGCTGAGAGATCGATAACCTGTTTGTGGTGGGTTTACGGCATCCTCTTGGGTTGTCTAGCGGAGGAAGCCAAGCAGAAATTGCTCTAGTAGACCTGAACTCATGAGACCCAGTCAGCTTCTTCCCCAGGCCACGTCCTGAGGCTAACTACTGGACTCCTCCAGGCCTCAGTTTACTCATGTGTAAAGTGGGAATAATGGTGCCATGTGACCTTCACATTCACCCACCCAGCCATTCAACATAAACAAACATATCATGCTGTGCAGCTATTATGTACTCAGGCCTTTGGGATGCATTGTGATTAAATTACAGATCTATGGCCACTTGGACCTTAATCTCCAGTGGGAGAATCAGATGACAAACAGCACGCATAATACAAAAGTAGATATATATATATGGAAGGGGAAAGGGGAGTCAACCTCTGGGAGGAGGCTCTGAGAGTAGGGGCATGGGCAGGGTGGGCCTCACTGATAAAATGACATTTGAAGCAAGAGTTGAAGGATGTTAAGGGGTTGGCCAAGAGGATACCTGAGAAGAGTGCTTTGGGGGTGGGATGAGCACATGCAAAGGTCCTGAGGCAGAGAGTCTACCAGATGTGTTTGAGGAACAATGTGGGTACTGAAAGAAGCAAGGGATGAGGGAAGAGAGCAGATTGTGAAGGACCTTTGGTATTGTCCAGGTTTAGCTTTCCCTCTGAGTGACAGGGGGAACCAGTGCAGAGTTTAGAGCAGTAGAGTGCCCCATCATTTTGGCGCAGTTGATAGGGAGGGTTATAGAAACCCTACATGGCTGATTTTTTTTCTAAACACCCCATCCCACGGGACCTGAAGTCAGTTCCCTTTATTTACAAGCCACCATTTCTCCTTCCCTGTTCTGCTTCTCTCTGAAGGCTGTTCCACACCCCCCTCCCACCTTGCCCCAGCCTGCAAGGTGCCCAGCCTTGCAGGGTGGGAGGGGCCCGCATGCAGGCAGGAAGGAGAGGGAGAGGAGGCCACACATCCGTCCTGCCATCTCGCAGCCCCCTAAGAACCACATACCTCAAGCCCAGTTCCACTTTCTAAAGTCACATGATACCCAAAATAAAGATATTACATCCCCAGGGAGGAAGCGCTGTTAAATAACAGGAACCGACCCTCTCAGAAAAAGGGGAGGGAGGGCAGAGGTGCTGGGCAGCAGCCCCGGAAGGAGCATGCGCCTGCAGCCCCATCGGGGCCACATGGCTGCCGGCACACCTGAGGGTGAGGGGTGATGTGCAGCAGGGTCCGCTTCGCCTCCCCCTGGAGGTCGTGAAGAAGGACAGAAGGACAGGTGTGTCCTACAGATGGACGGAAGCCACCTGGGTGAGAGTGCAGCCAGGAACACCAACCCCACAAAGACAAACCCCATGACAAAAAGTTAGGTTGTGACAGAGGATTTGGAGGAACCGGTATTGCCCTGGTGCTTCAGGGAAGGCCCGCTAAAGACATTTTACCCCTCAGGGGACCAAAGCTGGTCTGTTCTCCAGTCCACCCTCATCAGCTCCCACCCAGACATTCTGGACAGTCTCTGCTTGCTCTGTTTGCTTTGCTTTCCTTTCCTTTCTTTTATTTTCTTCCCAGTTCCCATTCCCCTTCTTTCCTCCCTCCCTTCCTTCCTTTTCTTCTACTGTGGATTGCACCCACAGCCTTCACACTGAGCTACATCCCCAGCTCTTTCTTATTTTGAGACAGGGTCTCACTAAGTCTCTGAGTTGCCCAGGCTGCCTCAGCCTCCTGGAGGGCTGGGATTACAGGCGCGTGCAACCACATCTGGATTCTGCCTTCTTTCTCCACGCTGGGTAAGGATGCAGATTTGCAAAGTGCTCAGACTGGAAGGGAGAAGTAGGCAGTGGCGGACTGAGCTGGACTCTGCCTGCACACAGTAAGCACTCATAGCTGTTGGTCACTGTTAGTATCTCGGGTTTCCAAGATCTTCTTACTCTAAAGACATAATAGGACCACAAGTGCTGGAGTTCATGGCCCCAAGTCCTAAGGTCAGAAAAGCAAGGACTCTTTGAGAAGACAGGACAGAACTGTGTCCTTACAAGGTACACTGCAACCAAGTTGGCACCTCTTGTATCTGAGACCATCTAGGAAAACCTAGATGGGACCTCAGAGTGGGCGCAGGCTTGCTTTCTTGGTATAAGACATATCTCTCCCTTCCTTCTTCTCTTCCTTCGACTCCTGCCCTCTGTCTGTCTCCATCTTCCTTTATCTCTTTTTCTCTGTCTGAATGTCTATCACCCAGACACAAGTGCATGCACATGCAAATGCATTCACACACACACCTTTATACACATGCACACATGTGCCAAAGAATGTAAATGCACCCATGCATATGCAAATGCATGTACACACACCAGTGTACACACGCCCAAGTGTGTGTACACACCAATACACATACACCCAAATGCATGTACACATACATACATACTTAAATGCATGTACATGCACAGGCCCATATGCACATGCGTGCAAATGCATGTACAGACACCAATAAACACCCCCAAACGCATGAACACACACTCAGGCATACACATGCACAAAACACATATAGACACACCCATACATACAAATGCATGTAAATACACACACACACACACACACACACACACACACACACACACACACGCAAGCAGACACAGCGTCCTCTGCTCTCTAGCTGTTTGTCCAGCCCCCCTTTCTTCGGCACCTCCTTTCTCTACTTTTGTCCCAGAGTGATTGTGCTGCCTCTGCCTTGCCCTGCAGACTGGGGGCCCGCTGCAGGCAGGCTGATCTGTCTGCCCTCTGCCCTGGTGCCGGCATGTTGGTGGGGATCAGGGTGGGCATTTGGCCACCTGCTCCAGGGCAGGTTTCACATGCACTGTGTGGGAGGCAGCTCCATGTCTCCAGCACACACAGCCACACAGACTGAAATTTCCAAGTGCTCCCTGCTCCTGTCAGCTCACCAGATGCCCTGACTCCTGCCCACTGACTTCCCTTTCAGAGAGGAGGGAAAATCCTTGAGCTGTCTCCACTAGTCAGTGCCCTGGAGTCAGAGGGATGCCAACTCACCACCATGGTCCCCGTAGTCAGGGCCTCTCTGCACCATTGGGGCCTGCAACTGGCTCCAAGCCCAGCTCAAGAAGGCCAAGTCCAGGTCTGCTTTCTCCAGCAGGGTCAGGGAGATCTTCCTGGCCAGAGTCTCGCTATCGGGCTCATGGAGCAGGGCGCAGTGGTACTCCCTGGACAGGAGCTGCTCCTCCAGCAGGCTGTCCAGGAGGGCTTGCACCTGCCTCGGCTGGTGGCTGGAGAGCAGTGCCCGAACCTGGGCCAGGATGGTGTGGAAGTGGTTCATGGTGCGCCTGGAGGCAAAGCAGCTGGCTGGCCTGAGCCTGGGATCTCTGCTCACCCGAACTGCATCTTCCAAAAGATGAAGTGAAAACCAGGACAAGGGAACCTCTGCAGTTTGTTGCTGCTTATTCCTTCCTAGGAAGATTTCCTCATTTGCGTTGTAGCTGGGGTGGCTGATGAATGGACAGAAATGAGCTGTTTCATAACCCACAGGTATTTGCTGGGTACCACCTGTGTGCCTATGGCTGAGAAACCTGCAGCCTTTGGATTCTGTTTGAGCCAATCTAGTCTGTACCAAGAGGAAAGGACCTCACCTGTGCAGAAGACCTGTAAGGTGACAAGTCTTCTCAGGTGTTTGATCACAGCAAGAAAGCTTTTTGGCATAGAGGATAAGCAGAGGGGTTTGGTGCTAATCTGCTTGGGTTCTAGGTCTATCACTTGCTAAGTATATGACCTTGGGCAAGTTATCTGACTTTTTAAGCCTCCATTTGTCTGTCTGAGAAGGTGGAGTGAAGGTAATAGTGCTTACCTCATAGAGCTGTTAGGAGAATTAAATGAGATAGCGCTGAGTGTGCTACAGTGTGATAATAGTTCAGTAGATATGATTGCTATTACTGGTTAATCAGGCACAGGGCTCTGTCACCTTGGGTTTAACTTTGCTAAAAGCCTCAATCTCCTCTTCTCTAAATCTCCCGATAAAAGACTACAGTTTCATCAAATTCTCTTGAGGAATGCTTTTAAGGACCCACCACGGGACTTAGTAAATATATAAGGAACACTGATTTTTTGCTGATATTATCTATTTGCTATCAATTTCCTAATGCACAAAACAGAGTATTTGCACAAGAACATCTGTTTTAGGATTCTAAAAAGTCCCCGACGCAGTTTTTAAATCACAACTGATTGCTCTGTGATTGCTTTCCCTTCTGAAACACACCGTGGCCTTGTTCTGTCTCCTGGCCTCAGCTTCACCGTCTCTCAGACACGCCCATTTGCAGCACAAAGGATTCCTAACTCCAGTGCGGCTGAGTAGATCCTCTTAGATCAACTGTACTACAAGCAACAGCTATAAACTCTGGGGGAAAATATGGAAAACCACTATGGACAAAAAAAGAAAAAAGAAAGAAAAGAAAATCACTATGGAAAGGTACAGGAGACCGAGAGAGCAGGCAGATACTGCAAAGGCATCGAGACACAGAAAATGGGAAATCACTGGTGAATAGCCCAGTTCCTAAATTTCACCTGAAGGCAGGTCCCAGTCAGTGCTGTGCAGGCTGGTTACGATTGAATATTTAAAAGTAGGAATGTTTTGTTGTCTTAAATAACCTAGAGGACAGAACTGGGGGCAAAGATAATTATTGGAAAGTGGGGATTGAAGAGCAGAGAAAGAGAGAGAGAGATGAGTAGTCCCAAATTTTGTGTGTAAACCACCCAAACGTCCCCCTGACTCCGAGACATGGGCACATCCACAGGATAGATCCCAAGCAGATCGCCTAAGGCTGTGGAGCTGAGTGGAGACTGTCGCTGCAGTCTCCCAGGGGGTGTGGGGGAGACTTTGCATTTGATTCCAGCCAAATTACATCACTACTAAATAAGCAAACAAAGATGTCCACACTGTTCACACTATACTGAAATCCAGAGTTTTTGGCATATTCATAATGACTTGTACACAATTCAGAACTGCTTGACAGGGGAAGAAATAAGAAAAGTCAATCGATTTCCAAGAGAAAAAGAAAACCAGTGGACATGAGCTCCAAAACGACTCAGATGTTGAAATTGGTAGATGAGGATTTTTTTTTCTTTTTCCAAGAAATGAAGTGTTTTTTTTTTTTTTCAGCAGAGATTATAGCCATGGATGAAAAAGACATAAAAGGTGTAAAGGAAAATATGCTTACAAAAATATTTTAAAAATTAGAATAATCAAATGGAAATCACCAATATGAAAAGGACAATATGTGCAGTTTAAAATGTCAATGGATGGAATTAACAGCTAAATGGAAAAGAGAGAAGGAAGATAACATTTAGGATGAAGCATTAGACTTTATTTAATTTGAAGAACACAGAGAAGATGATTTTAAAAACAAACCTCAATGATACGCTATGAAGGAGGAGAGAGAATGGAGTGGAAAAATATTTACCAAAAACTTCTCAAATTTGTCGGAAGGAATACAGACTTGACAGCTCCGCAAATCCAAGCACGGTAAATTCAAGAAAATCACTCCAATGCACATAATAGACAAACTAGTGAAAATGAAAAAGAGGGAAATCTCACAACAGCATCCAAAATCAAAGCAACAGGTCACAGACAGGAGAACAGTCCGAGGAACAGCATCGGGGAAGGAGTCACAGGGGATTCGGGTAGGACCTGACTGATTTGTAACTTTTCATATTCTTCTGCTTTATAACTTCTCTGTCTAAAACATCCCATCAGCTTGAGTCATAAATTGCTGCTGTTTGTCTGTCTTTACAAAAATGGCCTTTTTATACGGCAAGAGTGAACGTGATGATGGCGATGATGATGATATGATAATGGAAAGGGGACCCTCTCCTGCTATGTGACTGGTCATTTAACGCCCACGGGTGCACCCTTCATCCCCCAGTCATCTGGTTACCAGCATGCTGACACACGAACCACAGTTTGGGAAACACTGATTCAGTGCTAAGTGCCAGAGTTCTGTCACAAATCAAGACCTGAGGCATGATTCACAGTATCCTAGGGATCTTGAGGATGACAGGTGTGTGGTCTGAGACTGAAACAGGGAGGAGGAGGCGCTATGGGTCCGCTGAGGAGGCAGTGCAGCTGTCACAGGCAGTGTGCTCACGCTTTGACCCCAGTGCAAAGCTTAAGGGGGGTTAAGGGGCTCCTGGAGGTCATCTACCTGTTGAGACAAGGACAAAGGTGTCTTCTGCAGCTCCTGCCCTCGGGTTTGGAGATCAGTGAGGAGGATGTGGTGATAGAACAGTCCTGAGTGAGCACGGTGGGGACCTGGATGCTTTCTACTCTACCAAACCAGGTAGGCACCAATCATCCCACCTTACAGAAGGGGCCCGGATGTGTAAAGTCACAGGACCTGGGCAGGACCTGGTGGGAACACTGGCCATAGGTTTGGACGTGAGGGCCTAGAACACAGCACTTGCCAGAGTGGTTGCTTCCTCCGGAGAGGGCCAGGAGCCCACTCCCTGGGCACACCAGGCATGTGGGCTGGTCTTGTAGCCACCATGTATCTTCCCACGGACCAGGGCAATGTCTCAGCCTGAGTCATCTTGGCCACTGCTCAGGGGCGTGAAGGGCTGCCTCTGGGTTTTCCCCTGTGGCATAAGGACCTCATTCCTGTCTTGTGACTCTGGAGGCAGCAGGGAGGGTGGTAGGGACTGGTAGGTAGTCTGCAAATGATGCTATGACCTGCTGTGGCTCATGTGAGCCAGATGTAGACTCAGGAGACCTGTGTCCAGTGGAATGGAAGAGTCAGGCTGTCACCACTGTCTCACCCTGGACCGTTGTCATCATCACCACTTCACCTCCCTTTCCACCACCACCACCACCACCACCATCACCACCACCATCACCATCTCCCCCACTGCCACCACTGTTGTCACCATCTCCCCCTCCCCTTTTCCATCATCACCACCATCATCTCCAGGGCATTACAACCACCACCATCACCTCTTTGCCATCATCCTTACTGCTAATTCCACAGCCACCATCACTTCCACCACCTCCATCACTCCATCCTCACCACCACCGCCTTCCCAGCTCTGGCGTTCCCACCTCTCCCCACTCTTCCATCCTCTGCATCCAACCTTCATGGTGTCCATAGCCTTCACCAGCTCAGTCACAGGGAGCACCAGCCCCCACAGCAAGCACCAAGCCCACTGACCTCAACTCAGCTCTCTCTACAAAGGCCCACACTCGGAATCCTTATTATCATCATGATGTACGGAACATGGTGGAGATTTGGAACCAAAACCATGATGAGTCTCTGTGATTCCTCTTGACACCCTTCAGAGGGGTTTGTTGGGACTGCTGCTTGATGTAGCACTTGATCAATTATGGAAATACCACTTGATTCTCCCTGGGTGCAGAAAGGATCCACTGTTTCTCTACAAGGGTTTAACACTTAGAAAAGGAGCTTGGAAATTACAGGAAGCTGAGGCTCAGAGATAGCAACCGTCCTGCTGAAGGCCATATAGCCAGTAACTGCCAGGATTTTGGGAGCAAGGGTCTGCTGTCAAGCCCCATACGATCACATGCTTAGCCTTTGCTGTGGGTGCAGAGCTGGGTGACACAAGTCCCTTGTAAGATATCCAGGCTGTGGCAGCTGGGAAGCTGTGTCACTTAGTCCCCTGAGAATATGTGCCACAGCTTCAGCCACAAGTGCCCAAAGGTTCTTCCTCAGCTTGTAAATTGATGCTAGGTGTTTCCCAGGCATTCCTGGGCAATGAGATGGCAGAGGCATCGGGTTCATTGCGTCTGGGTGGTGCAGGACTCCCTATGAACCATCCATGTCCCTGGCTTTCCATTCATTGTGTGTGACCAAGCCTTCCTGGAGCTGGGCAGAACCTGAGAATCACCCAATAAATATTCCTCTTTCCCCTCTTTTCACAGGTGTCAGATCTACCTGCTCTTTCCCATTCCTATCCCCACTTTGTCTTGTCTTGTCTTGGTTCCCCCAAGACCCCCGATTCTATCTTATCTGTTTCCTGGGGGACATCCAAGGATGATAATGCCTATGCTGATACCATGATAGCCAAAGGAAGTGTCAGCCTGTCTGGCCTTGAGCCTGCACTTTGTGTAACTGAGAGGTAAAATGGCTCTTTCAAAATCAGTAGTATTTTTGCTTTTAGAGAGAAACTGCTTCTGCAACTTCCTCCTGCTGGGAGGGTAGTAAACATCCACCCCCTCCTCTCCTCAGCTCAGATGAATGCACAGAAAAGCAACACCTCTGTCATAAAGCACTAGCCTAGCCTGTCTGAAAGGAATATGGTCAAGTCTGGTTTCCTTTCCAAGAATGGCCAGGGGAATAAAAGAAGCATGGGAATTTCCCTGTCTGTCTCATTGTATTCCTCCTTCTC